GGAAGTTATTGGAATTAATGGTCCCTAATGGAAAAAGTTGACAAGGAAAGGACCATGCATGCAAAGTGGAAGGCGCGTGGGTACGCCCAACGTAAGCTGGGTTACGTCCCGCGTATAAAGGGAAATGTTCGCGGGTGCCTTAGGCGTACGCACAACGTACAGGAAGTACGCCCAACGTACGTCTAGTGTCCATAAACCCTAATTTTAGGGCCAACCACTATATAAAGAACATAATGGCTCAAAACCTAGCCTCCTTAGCTATCCGCCCACTTCAGAGAAACCCTAGAACACCTCATTTCTTCATCTTTGGGTGATTTTGACTTTAAGAAGCTCATTTTGAGTGGTGTAAGATTGGAAGAGGAAAAGAAGAAGTTGGCAAGGAAGAACTTGGGAAGTTGGAGCTCATAGATCTGGAATAACATCATCATTTGGAACTCTTTGGAGGTATAAAGTTCATAACTTTACCTAAGAATACTTAGATTTAGTGTAGTTTGGTTTTGGAGTCATTTTGGTCCCAAGAATGGACCTTTATGATGAAATCTTGTCTTTGAGCTTAGTGTTGCACCCTCAGCGCTAAAAGGGTCCCATAAGCAGTAAAGTCTCCATCTTGAATGTCTTAATGGGTTCATGCATGAGATCTATCCCTCTTCATGGAAGTAATGCATCATTTTTGGAGTTTGGGCTTGTTTGGGCCAAGTAAAGTCACCAAGTCAATGAATTTATGGATTAAGACGTGGAAAAAGATCAGGATTTGTGATTATAGCTTCTGAAGTGGAGTATTAAGCCCTTAATAGGAAAATGACTTAGCAGGGGATTTACACTGAGCGTACGTGCAGGTACTCCCAACATACGCACCTTTTAGCCTGTACGCTTAGCGTACGTAGATGTACGCCCAACGTAATCTGTCAGTATGGACTTTGTGTTATTGGGCCACGATTTGGGCCATGCTTGGATATTTGGGTTTTGATAGGCCATAAGGAGTCAATTATTATGGGCCAAGAATATGTTTGAGCTTAGGGTAAGGCCCATTAAGGGGATTGGTCCCAATGTAGCAAATTAGGCCATTAGTAGGTCACTAGTGGGCTTGGGAAGCTTACCTAGTGTTGGGCTTTTTTATATTGCAGTTTTGGACCTTGGAAATGGACCAAGTTGGACTAGGGGTAGAGTGGTCATTTTACCCTAAGTAGGATTATTGAATTGGACTAAGTGGTATTTTGGTATTGGTAGCTCGGGGAGTTGAGGGATCAGCAGTTCGGGGATCTGCCAGCTAGCAGCGAGGGGTTATTCGCAGGATTCTACAGTCAGCTTTGCGATGTGAGTTTTCTCTAGTAGGAACGGGTCTAAGGCACCAATGCCTGCCCATTTATGTATGTTAGTGTATACCAGATTTAGATCCGATGCCGGGGTTAGCTGATGTAGTTTATATGTTCTGGATTTCAGTTCGATAGCGGGCGAGGCCCGAGGAAGGGTTATATATATTTTTCAGGGCTACGGTTTGATGCCGGGTGGTACCCGAGGCATTAGTGTAGGTGTAGTTATACTTGTTGTATTTGTGATACTTGTATGTGCCTGGTAGGGGGATGAGTGTGGGCGGGGGCCCGTATCTCATCATTAGCTAAGTGTGGATGGGGTTCCATATCTCATTAGTAGCAGAATAGGGGCGGGGCCCAAGATAGGCGGGGCCTTGAGACTAGCATTTATAGTATAATGATTGTGTTATCATGTTTATCTGTTATTGTTGTATGTGTAGTGGGCGGGATCCGAAGACAGGCGGGTCCTGGTAGAAACAGATTTGTATACCGAGCGAAGCTTGATGCCAGGCGGGGCCTGATGCCGGATTCGTCCGATGCCGGGAGGGGCCCGATGTAGCGGGCTAGGCCCAATGTTTGAAGTATGTGTTTAAGTGTTTGGTATGTGGTAGTATGGGGAACTCACTAAGCTTCGTGCTTACAGTTTTCAGTTTTGGTTTCAGGTACTTCCGGTAGCGGAGGGAAGAGCTCGGGATGACTGCATGACACACACTAAGAAGTTTAGCGTGGGATGTTTTACTCTGATAAAATAAGCATGTTTTAAATTAATACTATGTTTTGATAAAGCAACTTATGTTTATGAAAGAAATGATCTGACAATTATAGTTTGTTTAATGATTTATAAATGAAAATTTTGGACTATATTTTTGGGATGTTACAGACACCATCACCACCTTCAGTCCTAAACCACCATCAATTCACCCAAACCCTAAACCGCCCTCAATTCACCCAAACCCAATCCCTAAACTACCGTCAATTCAAAACCAAGAATTAGGGTTTTGTTTCTTGTGTTCCTCCAAAACATACAAGTGAAGAAGCAACAACGATGATGGGTTCCAACGACAATGTAGAGAAACAGAGAAGGAATGGAATGTGTGTGTGTGTGTGTGAGAGAGAGAGAGAAGCAACGCTGGAGAAGGGAGCGATGGTGGTTTTGAAGAAAGATATAAAATAATATCTAAAATAATTTTAAAAAAATGTAAAAAAAGTCTTTTACCTAGGTGAATAACTAATCACACAAGAAGTTAAAACTACATATCGAAGCAAGTAAATTTTTTGGTAATTATCTTCCCATAAACCTCAGGGACTAATCATGTAGTTTTGTTTTATAATTATTTAAGAGCAAAGTCTTTGATAATGATTGGACACCAAATCGACATATTTAAGCAAAAATAAACATCGGGTGGAAGCTGTCAATCTTTAGAAGTAGTGGATTTATCTAAAACTTATTTAATATGGGAAGGGGGTTTATTGTCACACAAGTGGAGAACTTAATTAATATGGGAAGGGGGGTTTATTGTAATACAAGTGTAACTTGTTTAATAAAATCTGAATAATCGAATTTTGAAAAACTAAAGTATATATATTATAAGGCCTCATTTCTAGAGTATGATGTGTCCATTTTTTAGAAACTAAAGTTTTTAAGTCAAATACGTATAACCGATTTCAATAGCGAATTAAGTTATTTCTAGTTGTCACCTCATAAACTATATATATGTGATTAAATCATACAGATCATATATTGAATCGGTCGTTATTGGGTCCGATGAGTGGTCTCAAAAACCATAAATACCAAGTGAAATTAAAATACCAAGAAGTTGAAATTAAAATACCAAGAAGTTAATGTTTAAGAACTAAAATGCCACACAACAAAGTTGCTCAACATTGAATAAGAAAGAAAAGTCGCTTGAGTACGTGCCCTAGCTATGAAAATAATAATTTGTGTACAAAAAACTTGTATTTTTAGTGGTTCAACCGATTATCGACTAAAGAGCTATGTTTTGATGGATTCAACAGTAGGCGGTTTTTTGTATGTTATTGAACCGAAGATTGAACAGTTGGTCCGATTTTCAAAACATTATTGTGGAGAGATTCTTTGTGGTATTGTTTTAAGATATAATTTATTGTTTAGTTAGATATTCAAACCTCTATAATTAGTCTAAAAAAGAATTAATTTTACTTCTTCAAATGAAGTTATTATATTGTTTAGTTAGATACACAACCACACGGTATTATTATGAGAAAATGACCTTTGAGGGTAATAAAGTATTCGTCTTGTATTCATTAGGTCCCTTATCTTTTTTTTTTTTGTCTTTATTATACCATTGAACTTATAATCCCTGCTCACCAAAGCCAATGCGACCGGTTGTTGTAGGTTACTGCTTATGTGGATATTACGTGGCATTATGTGGCATACATTTGGCTTATTAAATGCATGTCATCCCTATTAAGCTGCGTCATTCTCATCAATTGTGCCCTAGATCGACCGACATGGATGCTTCTTCTTCTTCTTCTATCTCTTCCAAACGAAATGTTGAATTTCAACCTGAAAATCCTTGTTATTGTGGGTTACCATCTTGCGTACGAACTTCACAAACTAAAGATAATCTAGGAAAAAAATTCAGATTGTGCCCTAACTCCATGGTAAATCAAATGTTTTTATGTTTTTGGTTTACTGTTCTTTCTTTGACCAATTTGTTACTTTTTTCAAGAATGAAGGACCAAAATGCAAGTTCTGGGAATGGTTGGAGCCTGAAACCCCTGATAATGAAGTCAGTTCTGGGAAGGACAAAAAAGAACAGTGCAATTTAACCCTCAAAATTTGTACATTGGAAAACCAGATCAGCATATGTAAGATGAAGATGGAACAAGAAAATTTGGTTGTTAGACAAGAGCTTGAAAAAATCTAATGGAAGCTATTTACTCATAAAGTTCTGATGATTGCGTTATTTCTGTTGTTTGTGTTTAAGAAGTAGTTATTGATGTATTAAGACTAAATGTTTTTTACTAATTAAGTTGTATTCAAAGACAATGTTGTATTTTGTTTGATGTATTAAGACAAAATATTTCTGAGTAATAACAGTTTGATGTTTTGAGTGGTTTCAAAGAAATATTAATGTGTTAATGTGATCCAAGTTAGTGAATTGTACATGATGCAGGGGTAAAATGGTACGGATTAAGTATAATAACAATCAATTGTTAATGTCTTAATGTGATCAAGGGGTAAAATGGTCCAGATTAAGTATAACAACAATCAATAGTTTGATATTTTGAGTGGTTACAAAGACATATTAGTGTGTTTAATAGGTTAGTGAATTGGACATTATGCAGGGGTAAAATGGTCCATTTTAACCACAACAACAACATCAAACATTTCTTAATGTATTAAGACTAAATGTTTTTTATTAATGATAGTTAGTTTGATGTTTTGAGTGGTTTCAAAATGTGTTTAACTGGTTAGTGTATTGGACATGATACAGGGGTAAAATGGTCCAGATTAAGTATAACACCCAAGCATATAATATAGATAGAACACAAACTTGTAAGATTCCATTAGCATGTGTATCATTACAAAAGTTGTGCCCACATTTGTCTTTACATAATCAAAATATGTGCCATGACTAAAAGTATTCCCAGTTACATAATAAAAAGACTAAAAGTTTGTCTTTACAAAAATATTAAAACATAAATTCATTCCAACACCAGTGGGTGGTGATCAATGCTTCCTTCTTTCTTCAAAACATTCCTCCTCAACCCAATCTTGGTAATTCTTTCTGAGCATTTTCGTGTCCTCTTCCCAGTTGCAACAGGTTGAGCAGGGACATCATAAACAGGATCATCTACATGAACATCAACATGTTGAGCATGGACATCATTAACAGGATCATCTACATGAACATCAACATGTTGAGCAGGGACATCATTAACAGGATCATCTACATGAACATCAACATGTTGAGCAGGGACATCATTAACATGATCATCTACATGAACATCAACATGTGGAGCAGGATCATCTACTTGAACATCATTATCTGGTTGTGCAGGAGCTTCCACTTGAATTGGATCTACTTGAACTGGTTCCACAGTACCTGCTATACAAAGGTGTAGTTAATGAGTTGGATGTTGTAGTATAATTACATTGTTTTAATAGCATACCTTTCTTTGTTTTACATTTATTAGCTTTCTTCTTTTTTGGCAGTGAAGTGGATGCTGCATCTTTTGGTCTTGTAGGAAATGTTGATCTATTATGGCATGTTTCTCTACAAATGGTGCATCTGATAACTGCACCTGCTTTTGAGATAGTATGCCTTGTTTTCCCCTGGCTTTCCCTCTCAGATTGATCCCTTTTCCTTTTAATGGTTGGCCTTCCTGGTAACCTTGTTTTTTGGGGAGGCAATGGCTTCATGTAGGTAACTTCAGGCCACATGGAACTACCATTAAGTGGATTAATGGTATGGTTGTAACAAGTCAAGAACATGGTTGTATGGAACCATGGTGCAACATAATCCTCTGCATTCCTGTTGAGGTATGAAATGGCTGCCACTGCATGCACACATGGGATACCTGATACTTGCCAAGATCTACATCCACATGTGTTGTTGTTAAGGTCCACAACATATCCATCAATTCCAATCCTAACTTCATATTGTTGTATCCCAGATGGTACCCCCCAAAATTTGCCCAAAAAAATAAGAAGTTCTATTAATCTTATAGATGAGACATATAATATTTATAAAATAGAAGTTATATCATACCTTTGCTGTTTCTTTAGCTTTGATATCTTCAAACTTATAGATGGACATATTTTTAAATTCCCCCAACTTTGTCCCTCTAGCAACATTGCCCTGCACCAACTTTTAACGTCCCTTTCCATGAGGTGTTCATAAGCCAAATGGTCAATTTTTTTATGGAATTCATTTCTGCCTCAAATTTAGGTTGAGTAGTACTAGCAGCTGCTGCCCAAAACAACTTCCTATATTGTTCACCTTTGAATCTTTTCTTGAAGTTAGCATAGATGTGCCTAGCACATTGTCTATGCTCTGCTACTGGAACCCTTTCTTTGACAGCCTCTATTAATCCCTGAAAGAAAGCATGAAATAGATGACATAACAAAACATTCAACTTAAACAAAACAAAACAGAAATATACCTTGTGTTGGTCTGATATGAGGGTCAATCCATGTCCAATTCCCATTTCAATGTCATCCAGAAGGAGGTCAAGAAACCACTTCCATGTTTCCTTATTTTCAACTTCCACCACAGCCCATGCAATAGGGAAGATGTGGTTGTTTGCATCCCTACCCATAGCTGCTAACAGTTGGCCTCTACATATACCCTTTAAAAAACAACCATCTACCCCTATTACCCTCCTACATGCTGCAATCCAACCATCCTTCACACCCTTAAAACAAACATACATTTTAGAAAAGTAGGTTGTGGAATCAGGCATGACATTCACATCTATCTTTACTGTTGAACCAGGATTTTTCCTCATTATTTCTTCTCCATAACTCCATACTTTACTATAATGTTCTATCAAACTACCCTCTATCTCATCCAAAGCATATCTCCTAGCATTTCTACATTGAGTGACACTAACAATCAAGTTAAACTTTGTACTCACTTTCGCTTTCATTTTCCTTATGCTCATTTTAGGGTTCTTCACAAGTTGATTCTTAAAATGCTTTCCAATCCATTTATATGTTACAATGGAACCAAGTTTGAAGACTCTTGAACAGTTATGGTCATCAACTAATGACTTAATCTGGAAAGAACTTTCACTGCTCATCCAGGAAGCCCACAGTCTAAAAGGATAGGAGGGGTTCTTGTTATCTTTACAACATCTCACTAATAACCTCTGACTATCATTTTTCTCAAAATAAAGGTTGTACCCATTCTTCACTGCATAGTTAGTCAAACAATTTTTCAATTCCATGGGGTTAGAGAATCTCATACCTTGAATTGGCACCATTTTGTCCCATTTCTAGTTCTCATTATGGACAGGGTACACTGGTTTGTCATCTCCATTCTTGGTTTCAACCTCATCAGTATCGGCCTCATCATTTATATCCTTATACATACCTGACACCGGATGTAAGAATTCATCACCAATAGTCTTGTCAAGAGAAGGAATGTAATCATCTGCTTCATGCTCATATGGAATATCATCAGAAAGTTGTGAATCTTTATCATCATCCAGGTCTTCCTCAGAATAATTCCCTTCATCATCTTCCACTACTTCCATATCAGCCCAATCAAGTACAGGTTCATTTTCGTGGTCTATATACACATTCATTCTTAGACCAGCTTCATCACTATAACCCGTTTCAATAAATTCAAAGTAGTCAGCATCATTCCCAATTCTCCTAATACCCTCTGCCAACGGTTCATTTCTGGTGCAATAATATACATTATCACAACTGCTTCAATCAACTTTGCAATGAACAAGTTAAAGTCTTTGAAATCCATTGCACCAAAATCGACATCACAGATTGAAACAACAACAACGTTCAAGTACAGTAATGGTTTTGGTGCGAATAAACCATTATAATGTATATAAACTGTTAAATGATTACTTTGTTTGGAATCGGAGGCCATCTTCTTCACTATAACACTCGCATTCACCAGTTCTCTTCAATTTCCTAACCGTATGCTTCGATTGAACCTTTTCTTCAATTTAAACGAACCCTAACTGTAAGGACAAAGGGGGTGAAAGAGAAACGGTAATTAAATGTGTTCTAATTCCACGTAATAAGACATGTCATCTTTAATTAAATGTGGTAACCGGTAAAACAGGTGATAACCGGTCACGGTGGCTTTGGTGAGCAGGGATTATAAGTTCAATGGTATAATAAAGACAAAAAAAAGATAAGGGACGTAATGAATACAAGACGAATACTTTATTACCCTCAAAGGTCATTTTCCCGTATTATTATATATCCCTTATACATTATTATCAAACCTCCTTACTCGTATCCCACTCAGCTTCAGAATTCTGTAATCTTATGGCTCGTATTCAAGAACTCGACCACCTTCAAATTCCACTTGAAGACATCAAGTTGGCCACCAACAACTTTTTGGAAGATAATTTCATCGGTCTAGGTGGATTCGGAAAGGTGTATGAGGGCCAACTCCATGTTTCCGACTCTACAACAACCAGCTCCATCTCCGGCAGGCTAGGCACCATCGTGGCTGTAAAACGGTTAGATGTGCAGGGCGGGCAAGGAAAAAATGAGTTCTTGAATGAGATAGTGATGCTCGCTAGTTACAAGCACAATAACCTGGCATCCATTGTTGGATTCTGTGATGAAGGTGGAGAGAAGATCATTATTTACAAGTATGAGGCTCGTGGAAGCCTCGATGATTATCTGGCTAATGATCATCTTACATGGGTGCAACGGCTTCAAATTTGTCTTGGTGCTACTCGTGGACTTAATTATCTACAGGAAGACGTGGGAGAGAGCCACAGGGTGCTCCACCATGACATTAAGAGCTCCAATATTTTGTTAAATGAAAATTGGGAAGCTAAAATTTCTTATTTCGGCTTGTCTAAAATAGGCCCCACAAATCAGAATATCACTTTTCTTGTAACAAATGCTGCTGGCACATTAGGTTACGTTGATCCACTTTACGTATCTCGACTGGGGTTCTTACAAAAGAGTCTGACGTGTATTCTTTTGGTGTGTTTCTCTTTGAAGTCTTATGTGGAAGATTAACAATGAAGAATATGTACGAGGATGAGCGTCGGTTCTTATTTCACTTGGCTAAACTCCATTATGAAAAGGGAAAACTTGACGAAATCATTCTTCCCAGCATATGGGAACAAATGAAGCCAAATTCGTTGCAAACATTCTGCAAAATTGCTTATCAATGTCTGAAAAAGAAACGCCGCAATCGTCCAAAGATGTTGTTGTTCATCGAACAACTACAAATCTCGTTGGATTTTCAAATTGTAAGTTGTCTTTAGGTTCAAGATCTGTTGTAATCTTAATTATTAGAATTTGAACTCATAATCACAAAGTATCTTTATATACTAGGGTTATTTGAGAATGACAAAGTTGAGCGGATCGAACACAGGTGGATATTCATGGTCGTTGCTCCTTGATAACAATCAAAAGCTAAGGAAGATAACCATAGATCACTATGATTGTATTTTTTCTGTTAGATTTACAACCGAAGATCTTAGTGGCTCGTTACATTCTACTCAACGGTATGGAGGTGACAATGGCCTCAGCCCTAGCAAAATTATCGAGGTGACAATTCTTGAATATTAATAACATGGAAAAGAAAAAACTTTATCGAACATATTTACCAAACAAGTGATATGTATTATTTTCAAGAATTGTGCTTGTTAGTGATATTATATTGTAAATTCTTGTAGGTTTACTTTGATGCTGATGAAGAAATAACTGGGATAGGAATTGGAGTAACTAGTGAAATTGGAGGACTTGTATTGATTGCATCGATCTATATTATGACAAACAAAAATGGGCATGGGCCTTTTGGAAAAGAGCCAGTGAGCTTTTTTTCAGAATTTTGGGATGCAGGGTCGTTTGCGGGGTTTTATGGTCGTGCTGGTCATTTTTTGGATGGATTCGGTTGTTATCTAAGGCTACCGTGTGAAGGCCTTCTTTTATTTGAAATAACAGTCTATAGTATAGAAATCTCATTAAATCTGAACCTACTAGTTTACATCGATGGTCTTCAAATTTGATGTTGTTGGCATTCTAATATAGTGAACATATTAGAGCATCCACAATGCATAGTTTAATGGAAGAGTTGGATGAGGTGGCATGCCTAATTGACATTCAATAAATTAAACTCTACCATTATGGGATGCCATGTTGGCACTCAATAGATATGGAGTTCAATGGCCAGTGAACTCTTCAATGGAAAAAAGGAAACCTTTTAACTATTAAATATATATTCCATTGAACTCATTGAGTTCAATGCATTGTAGGAAAATTAATATAAAGTTGTATATTAAATAAAATGATAATATGTCAATCCATTAAACTCTAATAACTTTATTCCATTGTGGATGCCCTTAGGTTCAGACAACTCACATGTTTTATTTATGATGATTGGATGCTATGTATACATATTGTTTTTCTCATATACACTGTTGTGTAATGTTTAGTGTGGTTATCTGTTTGTAAAACAAAAATCAACACTAATATGCTTCAAATCTGTTGCCAAGATTTTAATTTCTTTATTTTGATTGAACACGCACTGGAATCTGGTAACACTAATATGGGAGCTACTTCCTGTGTTTTTATGCTTAAAATAAAGACACTTTTGAGGTCTGACCACAAGTGAATTGCTAAAAGTACCTTGTCACCTAACCCTTTGACTTTATTTGTAAGTCAACTAAACCTACAATTCTCTATCTTTGATTTACAACCAAGTCAACCACGACATCCTATCACGACCCATTATAGCCTCCACCTCGAACTATATTACCACAAAGCCGTCAACCTTCATCCCTTTGGAGACACCCTCCACCTTTTCAAGCCTTCTCCGAACTTGCCTTTTTGGAGACCAAAACCGTAACCAACCCCAATACGGTTCCCCTTCAAGAACATGGAGTGAAGATTCCAAATTTGTTTTGTTCTTGTTACCACTAAATCACCTTTATAGACCGTAGGTACAAGTTATAAATACTGATATCAAATTTCTTTTAACCTCTAGAACACGTCAAAAACTTGTTAGAACATCTGGTATACCGAGGGTCAAGTTATAGGTTTGGCGTATGGCTCACGACGTAAGAGGATGTAATCATTTATAATGATAGGAATGTCAGTAATGTCAATAAGGCTTAAACGAATGTATGAAAATAATAAGGTTTAAAGGAGGATTCAAAATTTGTAGGAAGGATTCGTATAATGAAGTAGTGCGATGTTTGACCGGGCATGAAAATTTAAGGTTGGATGTTGGGTGTGAAACATGTTACTAAATTGGGAAGTGTAAGATGATGATATACTTGTGATAATCACCAGTGCATCTGGGGGTCTTTAACTCAGGCTTGTAAATTTTGCCATAAGAGGAATGGTTTGTGCTTGAATTAGGATATTCGAAGTAAAGATGGTAGGGTAAGAACTACTTAAAGAATAACTTTTGGGTCAAAGGGATATCCTATGTTAGGCTTAAAGCTTAAGGTGGAAACAACCTAAAGCTATATTCATAGCGTAGAAGAGAAGTTTCACGTATCAATAGCAATGGGTTGAGCGTTCGTGCCTCCCCGTGAGTCATATTAGGGATTCTAGCTAATGGCATCCAGGTGACTAATTGTGGAGAATCATTTACCTTCTGACGCGATGCTCCAATTGTCACTCGTGTCGGTATCGGAACGCTTTTCCTATTTGTAACTCTAGTATGAAGATGATGAAGAGGTATTGAGGTATAATTGGTATAGGCTTAGACTTAAGATTATTACTAATGTCTATCTAGTTACTAACCTTACGAATAAAGTCAATAGCTACTGAGGAATACTCATTCTCAGTACTAAGCGAATTGCTCTTAGAGGGGCTAGTGATATAACCTAACTTGTTAACCAAGCACTTGATAAGGGATAAGTACATTTCTAAATAAGGCATTGTGATAAAAGTGCACTTATTTTAGATGAATGCCTATAATATGCAATGCCCATACGCACACCGAAAATTTTTGTTTTCAAAAGTTCGAGTTGAAAATTGTTTTCAACATAATTTTACAATAACCATTTCCAGCCTCACATTAATTTTCCTTAACTAAGCATAGTTGGCCAGGCTATACTTAATCAAATTCCAATAATGCGTACACGAATTAGTTATACCAGTAGTATGTTCAGTATTTTAAAAATATTTAGAATTTTTTTGGCTATACTCGTGGTTCTCCAAAGGAAAACCGGTATTCTCTATAACCTTCAGCTCTGATACCCTTTCTGTCACACCCCGCTAAAGCGGAAATACAGGGTGTGGCAGTACAAAGGGTTTCATAGCAAACGATAAAGACAACACCAACCATAATATTAAAAAACATTACAAATTTATAATGGGTTTGAACAACTTTTAAAAGAAATTACATTGTAATTGAAATACAACAAATACGAATGCTCCTAAAAGTGATGCGTCCCTAAGTGCCATCTTATAGACGAGTTCCTAAAAAAGCATGTAAAATGAGCAGTCAACTACCGAAATAGTTGGTGAGTTCACAGATTAAAAATAATATTGGTTTCATGAATCGAAATCAAAGTTTTGATAAAAGTTTCCATAAATAAAAATATATAGCAAAAGTGAGTAAATAAGTTTGCATAAACAAAGTTCGTTGTCATCATGAGAGATAAAGTATGTTTCCCAAATGAGATGCAACATTCATATTCTCATGGGAAATAAAATTCGTTACTAAAACGAGTAAACAAGTTTCATTGCTATAATGAGCAAAGAAGTTTGTTGCTACAAGGAGCAAACAAGTTCGTTTCTACAAGGAGCAAACAAGTTCGTTGCTAAGACAAGTAAACAAGTTTCCACTAATAAAAGTTCGTTGCTATAATGAGAAATAAAGTTTGTTGCTATAATCAAGAAGCTACATTGTATGTATATGAACAAACAATGAGTTCACAACCAAGCCTATGAATGATGCCCTGTCAAGATCTTTGCTTATCGTTCCATAGATGAATATGGTATCATGCACTCAAGCAATCAGGCGAGTGAGGATGTGTCAATTCCTAATAGCGCTATCCATAATGACTATTGGCTCAAAGAGTTAATGGTTGGAGAAAAGTGGAAGGGACTTAAGACGATAATGCCTCATGTTTCAATTTGCATAAACATACATAGCAAAATATAGCAAAAAAGTTTGATACAAATCAATTTAAATACAACGACAATAAATAGTTTTTTGGACATGCTTTTCCACCCCAAAACAAAAAAATGAAAATAGGGGACGGTGTGAATACTCACAATGCCTTGAGATAATGCAAATGGTGCCTTGAACTACGCTCCACTTGTACCACTATTAGTTCCTACAATGATGTTACATACTAATGAGTCTCTAAACGAAATCTAATACTAGCATACTTAACTTCTACAATAGAATTACGTCAAGATTGTGTCAAAATTTTGATATTTATAAGTTACAAACATTTTTATGGAAAAATTTAGATTTCTATGAATCAATTTGTTGTATAACAAATTCAAGTGGAAATCTCCATTATTGAAATGTTAAAATTTAACGTTTTAGATGGTGTTTCACTGATTAATTATTCAAAAAACTAAATCAATTTAGTTCCAAAATTTTCCAAACTTTGTATTTTAATTCTAACTGAAGTCAAAGATCCCAATATAATTTTTTCTTGAATTGTCGATTTGTCTAACTATTTTTCACCGTTTTAATTTTTTGAATAATCATAAAATCATGAAAAATACTAAACAATTAATAAAAATTACCAAACTTCGGATTTTGGTTCTAATAGTATTAAAGAGTTTCCAGATAGGCTTTCATGGATTTTAGATATGTGTAGCCATTTTTCCAATATTTAATTCTCTAGATAGGTATAAATTCATGAAAAATATTAATAAGTTAAGAAAATTCCCCAAACTTTGTGAACCACGGATATGGAATATGTATAATCTGGGAAATATAATAAAATGTATTTTCAAACACCTTAACATGATTTTTTGATTTTTGTGTATTTATTCCATCAAAATAGAGATAAATAGAAAACAGTTTTAAAAATTCCCCAAAATTTTTTATTCTATTGTTATTACGCATATGAGAGCTGGGAAAAATATAAAAGTTGGTTTCTAAACAGTTTAGATATTTTCTTTTGTTTTATTCACTTAAATAAGCATTAATTCGTGAAAAATTATTAAACAGTATGTAAAATTCACTAAACTTTTTATTTACGATTTATACATAATGTATCATATTCTGATGAAGCTTCATAATTTTTGGATAAGTGTAACCATTTTTTATCAGTTTAATCCCCTAAAAATTCATTAAATCGGAAAAAATAAGAAATTGTCTTGGAAAAATCTGGGAAATTTTTCATGGAGTGCTTATGATGTCTAGAAGATGCGAAAATTATGAAGTATGATTTTGGTACTTGATAACTGTATTTTAGAATTTATTTCTCTTCAAAATAAAAATAAATTTGAAATCAATAGACAACAATCATAGAAATGCATGAAACTTCATGAAACATCTTTAATCGGTGTATAGATCATATCAGAAATTTACCAAAATTTATTGACCATAAAAAGTATTTTATATGAATTATTGCTATATTTTCTTGCAAAAACTACATTAAATTGAGAAAAACGATTTATTTTATGAAAAATTCAATATCATCTTAATTTCTTGTTTGGATTCTGGAAAAAATCGGATTTGAGCAGAAAAGAAGTTTTAGATATTTATTTATGAATAAATCCTTTATGAGCATTATTAACAATGTACTTTGATAATCAAGCCTTTAAGCTTGATGTTCATCACATGCATTATGATTTGAAGACCACGAATGAACGTATTTTTTTCAAAATGGTGTTTCTAAATGAACAACTTGAATGCATGTGGTTTTGGATCTTTAAAACTTGTAAAACTCAAGTTGATGGATTTGATTTAGGTTTTCATCGTTGGATTTCACCTTCTAACAACATGCATGTTGTTTTTGGGTGAAATCCTACCACCATCATCATCAAATTCGACATGCATGTGAATAATCTAAAAAAAAAGTGT